AAAAAACCATGAAAATTTTCTGGAAAATTTCCAGAAAGAAAGGATTTTCTTGTCTGGGGCAAGAGAGGAAAAAATAGGAAAAAAAAAAACTTTTTCAATATAGTACTGGTTTCATTCTTTTTAAATAAAGTAAAACAATTCCCCAAACCTAAATCATGTGTTTAATACAATGCTTATTTCTGGGTGTGATGAGAGCTCAGATGGGATGTCCATACAGAGGCAAGAATCTCTCAAGAGGTCAGTCTTCAGTGGATTCAATGGTTGTTAACACTGACAAATAGGTACAAAGAAAAATGAATTTAATATGAACTGGTCATTTACTCTGCAGCTGGAAATCATTTTGCAGGTTAATTTAGTTGTGCACTTAAGCTGTCGTCAGAAGCCCAGAGAACAAATTAGGAGTTTTTCCACCTGCATGCATTGCTAAGTTTGGGAGACAAGACATGTCTGAGTAGATGGGAGTAGAGTCAGCATCTCTTTTTCAGAGAACCGCTATGATCTCTGAACATATCCTTTGAACACCGGTATTAGGACATCAGAATCTCTACATATGAATTGATTTGCAAACATATAAAAGGTTTTCCATGTGGAACATGTGGCCTTCAACACAGCAGGCACATAGCAGTTCCTTGTAGAAGAAGCTTGGATGAATATATCTTCCACCAATAAGTATGCAGTTATTATTTCCAAATAAATGACATGGACCAGAGTAAACCCATTATGTGTCAGCTTAATGTAGCAGGGTGAAACAAACGTGATGACTCTGTGCCACCACTAAGTACAAGGAACCTGGAGTTCACACCTTGTCATGATTCCTCATCACCTCACCTAGTACCTGAGATAAACAATTTAACCTTGTGTTAATTTTGGTTTCAAGTTAATAAGATGTTCATAATAATAATTTATAAGATGTTTTAGGTTTAAATAATATAGTGTGGTGAATCACATTGAAAATAACTAGTATAAAATCACATAAAAACTATTCGTAGTTTTATGGTCATTAAAATTCCACATTCAAGCATGTATTTCATGAAGGTAATAGTGTGGAAGTTTACTACCTCATTTTAGTTCCAGAACAGAGCCATAACTTGGTGCATTTCAAAAACTCAGTGATTAATTGGATTGATAAATTTACTATCACAAATGTTGTTTTCATCAGTCTGAAAAGTATATTTGAGATGGTGTGCCTGGGATTCACACAGGAAACACATCTTTCTATGAAACGTAAACTCTAAAATAAAGTATCAATAGGTCAGTTTTCACATTATACAAGGGTGTCCACTGTTAAGCAATTTTCAATTACATTGCCTTGACTTGCAATGTTCAGGTTATTTTAGAGATCCCAATAGAAAAGAGTTTCTAATTCATTTGGAATGCACATGAGAGGTAAAAGGAAGGATCTATCTATTGCTGGGTTCACTACTCTCCCTACTTAACATAATTCTGGTTTCAACAATCTAAGAAAGTAGTCTCTCGGTATTGTTTAAGATTCTCAAAACTCATATGTTATATATGATTTACAGTTTTAGGTTATTATATTTTTATCTAGTAAGTGCTTTTGATGTCTGTTTTGTGTCATGTATGCCAAAACATCAAATTAAATTTATATCAAGCCATTCTATTTGTATTAACAAAGACACTGTTAACTATTTATTAACAAAGACACTGGTTTTAAATCATAACATAATATAAATGGTAATTCTTCAAAACTTGTTATCATACAAAGTTCAGCTTAGAACATATAGTGACATTTTTCCTTCTCTTTGCAATGTCACAATCATGGAGCGGCTCCCTCTAAGAGTCGTACAAATATACATTGATTGCCACTTACCAAAGACAGTTCTCGCTGGTACTGACTCTCTGTTGAGCCAGAAGGAGACTTGTGAGAGAATAACTGTCATTATGCATGGCAGATAAGTTTGGATAACAAAGTAGCCGATTTTCCTCTTCAAGTGGAAATGAGTAGTCATAACCACATATTCTCCTAGAGGGTGAAATAGACAGTGAGTTTGAGTAATTTGCCATTGCAAAGAAGTTATTCCCTAGGGTTTCAAAGGAAGAAAATTCTAGAGGTTAACCACATCTTGTATTCCACATGACATCTACATGCTAGAGTGCAAGGCCTTGCTCCCAAAGAAAAAAGAAACATTCTCTCTGAGGATAATATGAGATATTAGAATCTTGGAATTTCTTCCCTTTATCATTGCTGAATCATATATCTAAGGGATAAAGTTGAGTTTATGTTTCCAGATTGATCCCTAAAGTGATGTACTAGATCCATTGAGCCCAGCAACCAAAACAAGACTGGTTTCAAGTGTGACTTTGCAAAACAAATTTAGAATGTAAACTCAAGGTGCTTTGTTATGAAAGTTGGGCCAGCTAAATTTTGTTCCAAGACTTCTTTGCACCTCAAATTAGTGATGGAGTTTGGTCAGAAGTAGAAAATTATCAGCAAGCTAAACTCCATTATTTCTCAAAATTCATTTCTCAGAATTAGCTGTTAATATTTGGGAAGGCATAACTCACAAATGTCATTCAGGTATATAAAGCATTATTTGAATTTACAAGGAAATCTATACTGATAATAATATTTTTTCCTTTTCAGTACTGGGGCTGTATCCCAGGACATCCCACATGCAAGGCAAGTACTCTAGCTATATTGTACAAACAGTTCTATAATCACCCTTTGAATTTGTTTCCATCCCTGGGTTGGCCTGGGAAACAATGCTAGGCACTCTCTAAGATCTTTCAGTTTTAATGGTCTGAAAAAGTAGCTAAACACCACAAACTACAGAATGGTGCACTTTTCTTCATGTTGCACTTTATTCAACCGCAAATCTTCAAAATGTTCAGCCTTATTCATATAGACTCTATATGTGGATGAATCCACAAGGAGATAGATATGTCCAAAATAAGAAATCCTCACACAACATAGAAGAGTTTCATACCAGTCCCCTTCCTCCCATTCTAAGCTTCTCAGTACCTGATTTCTCATTTAACAACAAACCCTAGGCATCTGGCTTCAACTCCTGTACGTGACTACAACTCCTCATGGCCCAAATCTCACGACTCAGTATCTTTCAGTTTCATACCTTGCTGCTCACTCCACTCATAGAAATGAGTACTCCATCTCCCTTCTTGATAATACATTCTCACAACCATCTTTTATTTACTTATTTTTTTTCATTTAACATTTTGTTTTGGAGTCTCTTAATAACTCATTGATCATTTTCTTTATAAAATACTTAGTTCCATGTCAATCATCATTTTCCTTTTTATTCCTAAGTAAATGAAGTATGCTTCTGTCCTCAGGCCCCTTCCTTAATCTGTCTTGGTTGAACAAGAGCAACCTCCATCTCTCTTCTTAATGGCTTTGTGGGGGGTATGAAAGTGCCTGCCAATTTTGCCTGGAAATAATTTTATTTTAAAAATAAAGACTTCTAACCCGGAATTCAAAGAAGACAAATAAGAGCTTTTCATATTCAATGAACAACTATGGTTAAAATTCACATTGCAGTTCACCTAGCATAGTTGTGTACCAGATATTCTTATACTGGAAAACAGAGAGTTTTAGTCCAGCCTGGGTAACATAGCAAAAAAAAATCACACTAGGTTATTTCTCTCAAAAAGATTGACTAGCACATATCTGTCTAATCATTACTAATAATAATATATTGGATTATTCTTATCATGTTAAAAGGTGATTTAGAAGGAGAGGATTCTATCACCACATTTGATTTCACCTCTGCAGCATCTTTTATCTTCTTCCTTTCTAATGGTTACGGTTCCCATTTTTTTTTTGTACACTAATTACAATAAGCTATTAGTTGTCTTATGTGCCACCAGTGGCATCTACCTCAAGATTTTTCCTGTCCTCAAATGTACAGGGAACCTTTACTTGTGATTGTAACATCCTTCCAACTTAAAATTCTAAACAGATTCTCATTGAGATGATTAATCTTAATAGCCAACTTGAGTGCATTGATGTAGCACACTTCTAGAAATGTCAGCATAGGTGTTTCTGAAGATGGGAAATGACTCAGAGCTAAGAAGTGAAGATCTACTCCGAATGTAGGTTAAACAACCCAGAGTGACCAAGAAGGTGGAATCCCAAGTATGCACAGCTCTACTGTACAAGCTTACAGGCATTAGACTGTGGTTGCTTTTTCAGTCCTTGAAGAATGACTTATAATAGCAACACTCCTGTGAATTTCAATAACCACAAGTCTCTCTTGTTCTGAGACTCCAAGCTTCTTGATGTGAGAAGATTTGATCTGCCTTGGGCTTGGTGCCATGGATTCTACTATGTAATATGTCCCAAACCCATGGAACCATCCACTCATGGATGGACATAAGAAAAATCCTGAACCAAAGCATACTTTTTTCCCATTTAAATATTTCCCTTGAGTATTTTTTCATAACAGTAGAAATATAACATATACCATTATCTACATCTGAGTTTCTCAAATTTACAAATGGCATTTGGGATCAAATAATTATTGGTGGTTAAAGTCCATCTGTGCATTGCATATTTAGCTTTATCTCTAGATTTTATCAGAAACAGGGATCCTAAAGCAGTAAATCCCACAGAATTAAATTTCCCAAATAACCATACACTGGAGGAGGGAAGAGCTAAAATTCTGGTTCAAAGGAGGAGGAAGTTGCCTCCCAGAGGTAATTTCACATGTTCCAACAGTTTATTTCAGATTATCACCAGAAAATCAATGTGTAACTATTTTCTGATTTTCATTTCATCTTCTCTTTAAAACTGTAGTCCTGCTAAAGGAGAGACATCTTCTAAAAACATATCCTCCCTAGTCCTAGCCACATCAATTCTCTGTTATCAACTTGTATTTTCTAATTTCTTTGGAATATTTGGGGAAAAAGCCACTGAGTTTGTGTAGGTTAGCACCTGTTAACCAGTAGATAATAACATTAGTTAATGCATCCTTCCCTGAAATGAGGATGGAAATAGTCTGCATTACACACAGTAAGGAATAATCTCTTCCCTGTATTCAGGGCTCTCTACAATATAGATTTAATCTGCAATACAAGCTCATGCCTTTCCATACATCTCAACATCTCTGTACCTTGGCCAACCAAACTCTATTTGATATCTATTGCCGAGCATTTTGTTTATCAGTCGATTGAGGAAAGCCCAAATACCAGGTCCTCAGCAAGGTATCAAAAACGTTCTGAGGGAAAATTTTATTAGCCTTGGAAGGAAATGAGTTTATTTGGGTTTAATACTCAATTTTCTAGTTGTATACACTTGGGCACCTCATGTAGACTTCCTTATTCTCAGTTTTCCTGTCTGTTCAATAGTAGAACTACAATGTAACTGAATGAAGAATAACTGCTCTAACAGGACATTACATAAGACTACTAAAGTAAATTTCAGTTACTTTCTCCATTTTCTTTACTCTTTGCCCATATCAGAACTGCAAGAAGTATTGACAATAAAAAATGCAATTAGTGTTACAGACGGAAACCATTCATCAACTGGTATTAATGACAATTTCCATATATTGAACACTTACTAAGTATTTTAGTTACAGCTGTTGTTTATATTGATTAATAAAACTATGCTTCCATTTTAAGATCTCCATTTTGAATGCTAAATAAAACTTTAAGTAGTTTCAATTTGATTTCGGGGTACACTTTATTCCTAACTATTCATTTTATAGTGGCCTGAAAAATGTCATCACCTTAAAGGAAAAAAAAAAGCCCATCTTTCATAAAATGTCAGGAAGATGAGTATCTACATATATCCCATCATCTTTTGTCACTTGCACTGTGACATTTTTGTGAAGAGTCTGTGAGAAATATGGTT